ATACCTAGATTGGCTGCCTTTTACAGTTGAAATGGTTTGATCTAACCGTAAGTTTGATGTTGACAGTTTCTTCTGTTTCACTTCCCGCTTGTGAAACTCTCTTCCGGCTTCTTTCTTTCCAGTCAACTTTGATCTTCAAAAATTTAAATGCAATGTCAGTCGTTATCTGTTGTCCTCTTAATCCCCCTTCTTTTATTTACTCTCTACTTAATAGTGTTTTTTCTCATATTTTGTAACACTCGGTAACCCTTTGTGTCTTAGTGGTTTTATTGGCTTGAAATTGGGGTGAAATGACTTAAAAAAAAATAAAATAAAAAGGGAAGCAGAAGAAAACAAAGAGTAAACTACTTGACAAATTTGAATAGATGGATGGAAGAAAAAAACCGAAAAGATAATGAAGGCTGATAAAGTAGATAAAAAAATAATTAAAGTAACAAAGGACAGGAAGCTGTGGAGAGTCATGATCACCTACAGCGAACGCTCACAAACGTAAGTGAGTCGTAGAGAACCATAGAATCACAAATAACGGTAACAAATAAAAAAAAAAGATTTTCAATGGTAGCAATAAAATGAATAACACAATGTAACTCGAAGAGAAAATAATGACATAAATCAAGATGTTTGCATTTCAAAGAATTTGAACAAAAGGTTAGGAAGGAATTCATTATCAATACTGGCAAGAGCTATAACAGTTATTGAACTCGAGAAATATATTTTCCTGAAAAATTGTTTTGATAGAAAGATTTTATAAATTACAAGCAACAGTAGCACTGGCTGCTCGGTCAATAAAAGCCGAATGTTTCCTTATAAGGAAACGGCTAATATTGCCATAACCATTAGAGATGTCGGGAGCAAATGCTGCATATTGATCAACACCCGATGTGAAGAGAGTGTTGAGTGTTGGCTGCTCGGTCAATGAGAGCAGAATGTTTCTCTTATGGGACCTTACCCATAATAACATAATGGACTATTCCATACGTAATAAATACTGCGCCTCAAGAGGAAGCAGGGAGTTCAGTCTGAAGTCTGGAGTGAGGTCCGTCAGGAGTCTGTCAGTCAGAGCGAGCGAGTCAGTCAGTCGAGTCAGAGGCAGTTCGAAACAGAGTCGCGTTCAGACAATTATTACAAGACATTGGAATTGTGATACTGGTCGAGACTACATTGTTCTCCCTACTAAACCTGATTGTTCGTACTAACACTTTTTACTTCTCTGTATATATTCCTGTTGTAATATATCTGTGTTATTCCATATCCGTGTTCGAGTTCTTCTTTATTGGTTCTACTCTGGACCTTCGCCGTGGTACAAGGACCTGGGCCATAACAAGTGGCGACGAAGATTCGAACTCACGCGTGAAGAACAAACAACAAAATCCTCTCTCGTCAACATAACAAGTGGCGACGAAGATTCGAACTCACGCGTGAAGAACAAATAACAAAATCCTCTCTCGTCAACATAACAGTTTCCGTATGAGGAAGCGGCCAATATTGCCATAGCCATTAGAGATGTCGGGAGCAGACGCAACATACTGAGCAACACCCGATAGCCAGGGATTATTGAAAGACATAATTCGATTAGCACTGGCTGCTCGGTCAATGAATGACGAATTTTCCTTTACAAATAAACAGTTAATATTACCATTACTATTAGAGATGTGAAGAATAGATTGTGCTATTTGATCACTGCCCGATGGCCAGTGGGTGATGAAAAGCGTAACTCGAATAGGACTAGCTGTTCGCCAATATATGACGAATGTATCCTCATACCAAAATAACTAATATTACGGTTAATATTAGAGAGTGTGATAGAGCATTATATCATTTTACATTTGGGTTGATTGTTTCAATTTTTGTCTTTAAAAATAGCCGCTTACAACTTATCGATTCTTATTTTACCTTTAACAACCCAAGTTTCTATTAGTTAAATATGTTACTCATATCAGTTATGACATTCTCTCCATATATATAAAGGCATGTCGAGACTCTGATTATAAGCTCTTTTTTGTTGTTGGTGCTCTTTTTCATAATATATACGTTTCACACCCCTGTCCATTATATTAAACTAAAAGTGAATAAGAGAAGAAATTACTATCCTAAACCCCAGTTCCCTTAAAAAAATCATGCAGCTAATAACATACAGAAGACAGAAACTTTTGTCTTTGGATTTTCCTATAAAAAATGAAAAGAAAATGTCCACCCAGTTTCTCGTCGCGCGCTAAAAGCTTGGCAGAGAAGTCCCATCTGGTGCATCAATTAGCTAACGTTTACTAATTCCAGGTACTCAGTTCCATGAGTCACAATTTACCCCCAAAACTACCAATTATAAACCTTGCTGAAGAATCAAACATCCGTATAATTTTCTTTCTGTTTCATATTTCTTTTTTTTTTGTTCTCGTATTTTATTCTTTTGTTTTTGCCCATATCTTTTTCACTTCCATCGTATTCTTTTTAATGGCACCAGATTTGAATGTCTTCTCTTGTTTCATTATTAAGCCTCGTGTTTCATTTTGAGAACTTAACGACAAAATATACTTTCCTGTTGTCTTTTGTCACTTCTCATATTTAATATTTTTTTAAAAAATTGTTAAAACTGTCAGTGCAGAATAACTAATCATCATTCTTATCTTTGAGAAAAATGTATTTTTACAATTCAATAATGATTCTGATTTCATAGAAAACTGTTATGATTTCATAAGAATCATTTAATCAAAGAAAGAATATTATTATTTAAAAAAAATGAAATCTTAGGGCACATATTTTCGAGTTCATCTATATTTCGTTTTAGTTTCATATATGTGTGTGTGTGCAAATATATAGAAAATAGGAAAGAACCGTTAGGTTAATAATCCGAAGTTCTTTAGTACTTTTGTTTTTATTTAAAAAAAAAAACAGTGCTCGATACACAATCATTTAAAGAAAATACGATTCCATCCCTACATAAGAGTTCTCATGTTTCAAAAACAGAAGCTAAAATTCTCAATATATATATATATATATATATATAGAGAGAGAGAGAGAGAGAGAGATTCCCCAAAAAAAATTTCGCTTGAAGATGGAACAGAGCTTACTTTAATTCAATTTAATTCAAATAATTATATTGAAGCTTTCGGCACTTGTTTTGTAACATCAGACCTCTTATGTAGCGTGTTGGAATCATATTTTTAAATAAATAATTATATATATATATATATATATATATATATATATATATATAAAGGCTAAAAGATTTCAATAGATATAGATATGAGCAAAACTGTAATCCATGAAGATACTATAATAGAAAAGAAAAAAATCGCATTAAATAAAATATCTTTCCCCACAGGAGATGGTGTATATATATATATATATATATATATATATATATATATATATATATATATATATATCTTTGATATATGCTTTTAATTTAATAGTTACATATGACATCAGTTTGAAGTGATTCCATTTCCAGATATCTAAAAACGTCAGTGTGTAGCCAACAACAACTTGGCTACCATTTTAACCACTGACAGTTATTGACACTGACCTTGAGAGTCAAAATTACTTGAACATAAAAACAAAAGAAAAAAACCCCCAAAAAACATGAACTTTGGACAATTTATTCCTAATTTCAATCTCGACGTACAACATCTGATTCGGAAATGGAAAATTGAAATCAAACGTTAAATAGATAAACCCTGTCAGTGGAATTTATATTGTTTCGATGAATTCTTTCTCTTTCAATGCATCTGTTTTACTATTATCAGGTTTCGATTAACTAGATATTTCATAAACGTAAACAATGGGAAAGATGAATATTCGCTATGTTTGTATTTTATAATACGATACTTATATGTGAGTACTACATGCATTATTATTGGATACAGTTAAGAAAAAAAAAGTTTTATCAAAATCATATTTATTTTAAATACAACTGTACTTATTGACTACAGTAAATAGATATATAATTTGGTCAATGGCGGAGCCAGGGCCAGATAACATACGCTAATTTTATATCTCGTGTATGATGCGATCTCCTTAAAATTAGCTTCAAAATTAGATCTTTAAAAGTCGCATGATACGAGAGTATGTACGGCATATATATAGCATGTCCTTTACAATTTAAAAATATATTACAAAATTAATTGATAAGATATCTTAATCAGATTTGTTCTATGTACTCAGTAGTCATCAAAGTTTTTAATCACATTGCATTTGTGTATTTCAGATATCCTGTTGATGAAAGAGGTACTGTTAAATGCACCCCTAACATTTCCAGACCGTTGGATGGCTCAATTCCCTGACCACCTCGTTCACCTGATATCCCTCCCCTGGATTTATCTATGGGGTTATGTTAAAGATGTCGTGATCCAAATCCAAAAATCACTGATGCCATATTGATGAGACTATGCTACAGCGAACATGGTAAGAAATCAAGTACCTTCTTTATGTGCTTTGTGCAACTAATTGTGTCCATATAGAGGGTTATTAAATTAGTTTAAAAAAAACTTCAATATCTACTCCTCATTTTGTAACAATTTCCACATATTTATCTGTTCATTTGCATTTAAATATTTTTTTAAATTGTAAAGAGACTTTATGGACACCCTACAATCTCAAATTATTTTATGTTGTACATGTAAATAGTAAATACTGAACGATTTATATGAATTCTGAAAGTGCTGCTATGTCAAACTAAATCAATGGGTTTAATTCAAAAGGTTTTACCACGCCTCATATATTTGAACTTAAGAATGTGCAAAAAAAATTGATGGTTTGATTTGTTTTTTACGGTTTATCAACTTTTTCAGATTATTTAAAGCCAGAATGTATTTTTAGATTGTAAGATAATAATTATTTACTGATACAAGTCCTATTAATTAATCTATAACTTGGTGGGGGGGAAGAAGAGGTGGAATGATATTTGCGAGTAAGTGAACGTGTCGTACCCAAATGGAATAGGAACTCTACTCTTCGATTTCCAATTCCTAGCCGTTATCCATTACATCAATCGCATATCCAAGCTTACAACACGTGGTATTCCCAAGTGGTCATCCATCTAGATACTGTCCAGGTTTAACGTTGCTTAACTTCGGTGATCGTACGAGAACTCGTGTTTATCGCCGTCAGCCGTTTGTGTAAAGAATCCGTCTCACCGTTTTATAGCAAATTATGGCTTTCAATTTAAAGAAAAAAAAAAAAAAGAAATGTTGCTTTGCCTCTAATTTTGAGTTTCGGTGTTCAAATATTTTACCTTATGTTTTTATACCAAATCATATAATTTTTTAATTTTTTTTTCTTAAAATCTACGACGTTCTTTCAGATTTAGATTTCCTACTCTGGCCAGTCTTCTTGGGAATTCTTAAGTATATTTTTCTTCCAATTTTTTTTTTTTTTTATTTACCAATTTCTTTTTTATTCTATAGGAAAATTTTGAATTTTTCTTCTGACCTTTTTGGACTGAACATCACAAGGTATGAATTACGAATAAGACACTTCATAATCAAGTAAAGATGAAAATATAAATAAGCTCGGTAGTGTTTTAAAAGAGGACGAAAAATGCACCAGCGAAATCCGAAGGCGCATTGGAGTAACGGAAGTTGTTTTCCAAAAGCTAAGCAAAGTATTAAAACATAGAAAAATTTCGTTCGAAACAAACAAAAAAAAAAAACAAATTTGACGATCCGTTTAGGTGAAACCTAGGTAGGTTTGTCTGACTCACTAGGTGTATCTATGTCTGCTCTACGGTTGTATTGAGCTCTTTTGTTAGTTTGTTGTTTACTCGTATCGGGTTTTTTTCTTTGGGCTTCAAACCTGCATCTGTGCGATTTTTTTCGGCAGACTTTCATGTTTCTAGCTCTTTCTTTTTTTAAAACCTTTTTTCCCGCGAGATTGATTTGATTATTGGCAAATCAAAAATTCCAGGGTTTTTCGAAACGAGTATAGTTATCTATATTTGTGTGTGTATATATATATATATATATATATATATATATATATATATATATACAAGTGTGTGTACGTGTAGTATATATATTGATTGTTGATTGTAAACCGACATTCATCGGACAGTACATCAATTTCAACTCCCACCATCCATATAGCGTAAATAATGGGATCGTCCGCTGCTTACAACATCGAGAAAAAGTCACAAGTGGCGACCCAGAGGCATTAGATAAAGAATTGTTCAGTATAAGTAGTACCCTACAACGTAACAACTACCCTGCATACATGGCAGCAGCCCCAAAAAACTGGGATAGGCGGGTACAAGAAATGGACAACAACACTCAGAAAACAGACAGCCTGCCTTATGTGAAGGGGTTATCAGAGAAAATACAAAGGATCTGCGATCAGATAACATCAGGACAACCTTCAAAAGCTTGACGACACTTCACAGATATCTCTCCCGAGTAAGACCCCCCCCCATAGAGGAGAACATGACTAAATACTGTGTGTATGCTATCCCATGCAGCCGCGGAAAGAAATATAAAGGGGAGACAGGCCGCCCCCTTAAGGTAAGGCTTCAAAAACACCAGAAAGCTGTAACACGAGGGGAAGTGGAAAAATCAGGCGTGGCTGGTCACATATGGAGAGAGAAGGGAGATCACCGCCCTCTGTGGGATCAGGTTGAGATCAAAGATAAAGAACACCATTAGAAAATTCGTAAACTTAAGGAATCAGCACATATGATAAACCACAAAAATCTCCTGGGCGGACCAAGCATAGAAATGAATACAATATGGGAACCAGTAATAAGGAGTGCCAAAGAAAAGGCGATAATAACAACAAAAATTGTAATATGAGCTCTGGTAAAAACGTATTTATAAAAGCAAAAATTGCAATATGAGCACTGGTAAAAAAATGGTTGCTGAAGACATTAGGTTTATAATACACAGAAATTCATACACAGATGTCTTCAAGGACACATGGCGTTAGTTAGATCCAGTGACAGGACCCAAAGAGTGTGAGTTCAATACCCGGCCAAGGCAGTGGAGAACTTTCAGAGGGAAATTAACAGGAAATAACTGATAACTGACATCCATTAAATATGGCACCTGGAACTAGAACATTCTACACCAGTGAGTGAAATAAAGGGTTCAGTTCAACATTCCAACCACCTGAAGAAGCCTGGAGCGTACAATGGCCGAAACGTTGTAATAAATATGGGGACAAAGATGAGGACAATAGTCCGAATAATGTATATAATGTAAACAATTAATCCGTCATCACCTCGTCAAAGAAGTAAATATAGCTACTGTCGGTTAAAAACACTGCTTAAAAAATAATTTCTGCGGTATTTTAATTGTTAAAGTAAATAATATTTGTTTCAAATCAGATTAATCATACTTTTAATCAGCTAATATTCCTCAAATAACGTTTCAGAAAAAATATATGTTATTTTTGGAAGATTTGTTTTTTAAAAAAGAATTGCATTGCGATGTAAGACAATTAAAAAAGTCGCAAATCAGCTATTTTAGGAAAAAAAATGAAAGAAAAAAAAAAAAAAAGAAAGAAAAATTGATTCCAATATAATTTTGTTTGAAATACACCAGAGTATTTTGCTTACTGGAAATAGTAAATTTAATCCTTTAGCTTTCAATTAAAGCTAAAATCAAAGCTTCAAGAAACCTTTTCATTAAAAAATTCTTTATAAACCTTAGGTATCGCAAATTAGTGGAGGCCACTTCCCTTTTGTCAAGGCTATGAATAAACCAATTAAAAATGGATAACGGGAAAACTCGGACAGAGACTAGACCTATGTCTAAAATATTGACTCTAGTCTAAACCGGACCTATACCTAACTTTTAGGCTCCACTGTAAACCGGATATACATTGCGTGCCAAATTATTATCGAGATAACTTTTTTCTAATATTCCAAAAACCGTCCAATCAATTCACTCAAAATTATCACACAATGTTGGCAACACTGAACTGCGAAATCGCTAAAATTTTTATACTGATCTGCGCAATGTAAACGAACTGGCGCCATATTTGTTATCAGCACAGTGATTTGAGCGTGCCAAATTATTAGAAAGGTATAAGAATTTAGTGAAAAGATGGGCCGCAAAAGCAGTTTAAGTGATGCTGAAAAGAAAACTATTACCTCAGAACTCTCAAATAGTAAATCTACCCTAGAAATTTTTAAAATGATAGGAAGTGTCATCAAACAGTGAAAAATTCACCGCCGACCCTACCGGGTACGCAAAAGGGCATATAAAGGCAAGCCGAGGTTATTTCACATCGTTTCATGTCACGACAAACGAGAGGCCACGAAGAACCCTGGACTTACCAGTCAAGAGCTTTTCAGTCGTATTGGGGATCCTACTATGTCTAAAAGTACTCGGTGTCGGTATCTGAGGGAAATAGCAACAACAGTCAAACCTGTATCGAAGCCTCCGTTGACGAGAAATCACATTCAAAATCGATTGAAATGGGCCGAGGACAATATGAAAATTGACTTTTCTAAAGTTTTGTTCACAGACAAAACTTGAGCAACACTTGATGGGCCAGATAAATGGTGCAAAGGCTGGGTAATGAACGGACAGAATCGCCATCAGTGTTTGAGACGCCAACAAGGCGGTGGAGGCATAATGATCTGGGGTGGTATTATTGGAAGCACATTAGTGGGCCCATGGAGAGTACCAGATGGCGTCAAAATGACTGCTGATGTATACATAGCATTTATGAAGGAGCATCTTGAACCGTGGATGAAAAGGCAAAGAGTTGCCTTCAGAAGGGCCATTTTTTTTATGCAAGATAATGCTCCCTCACATGCTGCTCACAAAACTACTGAATATTTGAAACAGTTAGACTTCGATGGACCTCGAAAAATGAAGTGGCCAGCAAGTGTTGATAAGCTAATCAATCATCCGCCTCGAATTCTGTAACGGTTCTCGTACTACCATCGAAGTTAAGCAATGACGAGACTGATCAGTACCTATATGGATGACCACTTGAGAATACCAGGTACTGTAAGGTTGGATGTACAGGCGATGTAATGGATAATGGCTCGGTATTGAAAATCGGAGAGCTGAGTTCCAATTCCCGTTAAGCTCGTTTTATTCACAAAATACGCAAAAATACTCATCCCCATCCCTATAGGTTAATTATTAAGACTTGTATCAGTAAAATGATTATTATCATCAAAAAATTCTTGCAATCTAAAAATATTTTCTAGCTTTAAATAAAAAAAAAACACAAATCAATTAATTGCTGCAGAGAAGGGCAAATCCAAGAGGATATTTTCAAAACGGTCCTTCCAACTTGTTTTTGTTCCACCAAGATTAGAATGCACGCTCTTTTCGGAACAAAAAAATGGCCGTTGAAATTATATGAGTCCCTTTAAAAGTCCAAGAGAAAATTGCAAACAAAAAAATTTGCTTAATACTCGTATACATATGTATAGAAAAAGATATGTATGCACACACGTACAATGACGCCTATAGAAAAGATGTTACTCAAGGAGATTTTACTAGAAACAACAAAGTTGCATCATATCATATACGTGCATAATGATGAATAATTTACAAGTTAAATGATAATAATAATTCCGTTTTGATCGCGTGAGAAGACAAAAGACATCAAAGACGTTACTTGTTTTCAGTCAACAAATTGAAGAAGGAAAGAAAATTTTTAACTTTTCTTTCAGTGAAATGGAAAAATTGCCAATTTCAAAACATTTGTATCCCCTTACTTCTTAAAATAACGACTAACATTCATATTTATAGTTGTTATTGTAATATTTTCTTAAAGCTGTTAACCTCAATTATTTAACAATGCAATAGAGGAATTTCTAGGAATATTTTATTGTCGCAGAACACGCCATGAACTTATTCAATCATTAACCAGAGAATTAAGATTCATCAGAAACTACAAATAGTAAAACCGTGTTATTTTCACTGATTAAGACTAGTTATACGTTAATTCAAAAACGGTTCGCAAATAAGGGAGGCATGACGTCACCATTTCAAAGTGCGTAAAAATATCAGGTATATTTCATTGACATTTTTATTCTTTTTCTTTATCGTAAATTTTAAACTTGTACATTTCATTAGATGCGTTTGGCAATTTGTAATCTAGAAGTTTCTAACACTTTTATTCATTTCTCTTAGATGAGACG